TGTAGGTGCCCCAGGGCGAGGTGCATGCCGTGGGGCCGGGTGGGTGCCCTGTGGCTGGGTGGGTGCCCCATGGCTGGGTGGGTGCCCCATGGCCAGGTCCATTCCCCATCATAGTGTCGGGGCACCTGTGGGAAAGGTAGCCCAGTGTAGGTGCTGCTCACCACTTTCTGTGCCTGCATAACCTGCCCTGTCCACTCATGTTTCCCCTGCGACTTGCCAGTGGGCCATGGCTCCAGGGCTCCTTGAAGAAGTGATGCACATGGTCACTTGTGGGGTTTCAGTTCCCCAAAGGGATTTCCCAGCAGCTGGGTTTGAAACCCAGCCTGAATTCCATCTCCTCTCTGCTGAGCACCTCGCCTGTCCCAGACATCAGCTGGACCCCCGATGCCCTGGCCAAGTTGCGTTTTATTGAGATGTCCTTCCCCAGTTTTAGGTTTGCAGGACAGCTCTGTGTCCGCCTTCCTTGGGCTCTCCTGCCCTCCCTGCTGTGTGGAAGGAGCACACGTCCCCTCACAAGCCAGGAGTGCTTGGACCATGCCCACCCCGGCCACGTTCTCTGGCAGGGGGTGATTGTGCCCAGCTCCCTGCCATTTGTCACCCAACCCTGTCCTTGGACACCCAGTCCTGCAGAGCAGGATGGAGCCAGGAATCTGAGCCCCAGTGGGCATGCCTGACCTCTGTAGAGCCGGGCCAGGGCCAGCCTGCCGGAGCAATGGCACAAACCAGGGCCATGCCAGAGGATGGCACGGGAGGAAGGCTGTCCCACTGAGCCATGCTGAACCTACAGGGCAGCTGTTTTAGCAGCTTTTGTGCCAAAAACCACTGTTGTTGTTGTTGTTCGTATTATTATTGCTGTTGTTGCAGATAGGATTGTCAGCTCTGGCCCTAATTGCCCAGACATGCAGTTCTTTCCAAAACGACCCAGGAGCAGCAGAACCGGCAAGACGCCCGTTTGGCTTGGACTGCAACCTGCTGCTTCCTCGGCGTTTGCTTTGCCCCATTGCAGAGCCGCCAGGTACGAAGAAGGGCCTAAAGGAGCCCGGAGCTCCCTCCTGGCATTGACATCAGGACTGCCTGTGGCCTTGGCAGGGCCATGGGAAATTTCCTCCTGGGAGGTGCCAGGAAGGTGCTGAGCCCCCCCAGCTCCATCCGAGTGCCCTCACCCATGTGTCTGTCCACCCCCACTGCCACTGTGTTGAAAACAGGATGCCAGCCTCAGTTCAGCTCCCACTGACTCATCTTGAAACTGTTTTCTCAGCTAGTGTGGCACCAGCACCTCCGCTGCGCTGCCAAGCCCAGGCAGCTGCCCTCGCCAGGATGCTTTCTGCCATGGTGGGAAGCGGGCACGTGTTTGCCTCTGCTGTACCTGCACAGGGAGCTGCCTCCCGTGCCTGGGCATCGGCTGTGCCCACCGTCCCCGGCATGCTGAGCACCCACTTGTTTCCTGGCTGGGCGTCAAGGCTCCTCCAAAGCCCTGGCAAGGAGAACAGAAAGGGGGAAACTGAGGCAGAGAAGGAGCGTCCCAAGGCAGGCAGTGTCCCCGGAGGGAGCTGGTGCTCACATGCCCTCGGCACATGTTGGGGCTCCTCGGGGTTCTTGGTATCCCCCTCCCAGCATCCTTTTCCTCTCTAGCTCCGCAACTCCCTGCCCGGCTGCCCAGTGCCACCCTGCAGCCTCCCGCAGGCCACTGCAGTCCTGCGGAGCACCGCTCGCACCAGGCTATGGCCAGCACCATCCCTGTGGTGCCACTGCCATGTGTGGGACTGCAGGCACGGCGCTGGGCATAGTACTGCCGTGCCACCCTGGAGCAAGGCTGTGCGGTTTCAGTGCCATCCGCTGGGGCCAACTGCAGCACTGGGGTTGGGTGGTTTTCTCCTCCTCAAACTTGTGTCCTGTTTCCTGTTATCTTTTCTCACCCTCCTGCTGCTGCATTTTTTCCCCTATCTGATTAAGAGCCCAGATACCAGGGGCTGCGCAGCCCGCAGGGCGCCGCTCCCAGGCTCGCCTGCCCGAGCTCCGGTGGCAGCTGCCTGCGCTTCCTGCCCCAGCGGGGGCTGCAGTTTCTGTCCCCACAGCTGTCCCCGCACCTCCGCGCAGCCCAGGGGCCAGGGAAGGGCCCGTTCCCCTTCACCGAGGTCAGCATCGGCCACAAGATTGCCACCTGGGGTACAGGAGGAGTGGTGGAGGAGGAGGAGCAAGGAACAGGGCTGCTGAAAGGCTCTCACCCTGGGGTGTCACTATCACCCTGGGGTGCTGTGGCAGGATGCCCGACAGAGTATCTGTGACCAGTGGGTCCAGGCACCCTGTACCTGGGTACCAACCCCTGTCAGTCCCTAGATAAGGTATCTAGGGGCAGCTGGGTGCTGGAGGCTGCTCTGGGCTGCAGCGGTCCACCTTGCTGCGAGCCGAGCTGGGAAGCAGACGTGGCCCTGAAGGGCCTCTGCACCCTCTGCCCTGGGCTGGCCAAGAAGAAACCCTCCCCAGCCTGCAGCCCAGCTGGGGATGAGCATGCACACCCATTCAGCGCCCAGCACGGGGCAGGGACATGGTTGGGTGCTGCCCTCTGCAGATGTCCCCATGCAGCTCGAGGAGCTTGGCCGTCCTGCAAGACAGTCACCTGGTTGTAGCAGGAGGCCACAAGGGGTGCTCAGAGCTGCAGCATCCATGGAGGAAATGGGCCACCCAGCACAGCCCTGGGCCAGTGCTGGCCCCTACCCTGTTGCTGAGCCCTTGTGGGGATTTTGTGATGGTGCCAAGCACAAGAGGAGCTGCAAAGTCAGACCAAGAGGCGGCAGAAGGGATGGAGGTGGGAGACCAGGGTTGCAGGCACTGCTCTAGAGCAGAGCCATGAGCCCATGCAACCCTCGGCCCCACTGGCAGTCCTCATTTCAGTGCTGCTCTAAGCTGAAGGTCCCATTCTACTTTAGTACAGGGGTTTTTTTGTTTGTTTTTTGAGACATTTCTAGCCTGGTCTGGGGTAGTCAGGCTGGGCTCACTGACTCCACTGCACCTCTGGTCCTGTGTCCCCACAGCCTCTGAACTCTGCTGATTTTGTGCCGGAGCTCCTCAGCCTGGCAAGGCTCAGTGCCCAGCCAGGGGTGAAACCTGCACCACTCCTGCTGCCTGTGATGGGAAAAGCAAATGAGCAGTCACAAACCAGGCACGGTGTTTCTCATGCACCAGGCAGCAGATCTGCGGGACTTCTTGCCTTGGAAGCAACATTTGCATGGTATCAAGGGGAGACAGAAGAAGTTCATGGGGGAGAGACCTATAAGGCAGGCAATCCCTTGGGAATAGCCAAAAGCTAGGACTGTGTTTGGGGACAGTGCAATATATGCTGTTTTATGTCCTTCCCCAGGGACCAAGTAAAAGCCACTGCTGGATCGAGGATCCTGGGCTAGCTGGGCCATTTTCTGAATCGCTAGGGCTTGGTTTACATTGGCACTGTTAAAGACATCGAGTAACACTGGGAATTCAAAGCAGAAGAAACACCAGCAAGCCCCGGAGTCAGCCCAGGGCAGCAGTCCTCAGCCTGCTCCTGCCAGTGCGGGCGCAGGTGGAAAGGTGCTGAGCCAGGCATGGACATATCCCTGCCTCAGCTCCTCACCGAGGCCCCGTTGCCCACCCGGCCATGATGCCAGCACCCTGGGGCCCTCCCTGCAGGAGCAGCGTTGCAAGGGCCTGGCCCAGCGGGGCCCTACTGCCCCATGGAAATAGCCATGGCACCGAGCTGGGGGGACACGCCTCCTCTCCATCACTGCTTCCCCTCCAGGAGAGTTGTCCTGGTCCTCGGGCAACCGGTGTCTTTGGTCACTGCCCACAGACCTGGAGAGGTTAAAGCCGCCTGGCAGAGAGGCTGTGCAATGTTTTGCCCAGAAGTTTTGGGAATAATGGCACTTTGTTGAAGGACAACAGGAGCTTTTGTTAGGGGCTGGGCAGCTGTTCCAGAGCAGCGATTGAAATGCGGTCACCCTTAGCAACAAAACTCAGAGCTGGGGCGGCCAAGTAAGTTATTCGCAGCTCCCAGCTGCAATTCAGCCATGGAAGCAGCACCGAGACAGAGATGGTTAAAGATAGCTGCAACAGAAGAGGAGTGAGAGAGAGAGGTAGTTAAAGATAGCTGGGGAGGAAGCTGGAAGGAGGGAGGGATGGGTCAAGAAATAAAATAAAGCAGGGATGGAAAGAGGGGTGAATGGATGAGTGGGTGCATGGATGGACAGATAGAAAACAGGGCTGCTTCAATGCTTGCTGTCACCTGGGACAACTTGCCCAGCCTTGAGGTCACAGCCAGGCTGGGGATACGGCTTGCTGCAGGCAGGTCAGTCCCCTCCAAGAATCCACGTGGACACCCCATCACCCTGCTTGTCCATGCAAGTGGCCATGGAGCCATGGGTGGCTGGGCTCAGGAGCCAGGTGGGCAGGCAGCCCCCATGCAACCTGGGCTTAGGACAACCAGGACGTGGTGGGTAGCAATACTGCCCTCGTATGCAGACCCTCCCCTCCAGGCCGTGCTGGCAGGGCACCCTCTACAGCTGAATTGTAGCCTGCACTGAGGGGTGCCCAGGAGAGCCAGGGCTGACAGCAGGCTGCTATCCTCACCCTCCTGCCTGAGTCTTCCCATCTCATTTTCCCAGAGCACCTTCCTCTACCCTGTCCCTCTCCAGAT